CCCAAGCCGGCCTCCAACCACCACATCTCTCACCAGTCCTTCTCTGTTGACATAGTAGTAGTTGACATAGTAGTAGTTGACATATATTGGCTCTTAGCAATTCAATTACAATTTTAAATAGGGAAGAAGTAGGAAAAAACTGAACTCCTTCCTCTTGCATCCTCTCCTCCTTCCTTTTCAAACATGAGTTAACTTGTCGAACATGTGAAATATTTCCAATGTGTGTTAACTTCTAAAATTCTAATGTTGCATTACATTTTCTCCAAAATGAACAGCAAATTACTACTTTATTCAGTCCATCCAATCTTTATTCAATCTGGCAGCAATGCCATTCTGAGCTCTGATATAGCTAGAATACTCAACCATTGAAACTTTTTATCGCTAATCCCAGTGTAAAGATAGATGAACAACGTGGGGAGAAGACTGAGGCAATGTCTGTAGCAAAGTGAGCTGTTTACTTGAAGTGATATTGCTCCTCATGTTTGACTTGATGGTAAACGCTAAGCGGTATTTACCTGTTGCAGATTGTGGCCGTCTTCTGGATGTAGACTGGGAAACAACATGGGTTCTACAAGTTTTGGGGAATCTGGAGCCCAGTTTGTATAGGAGACAGCACTTCCATCAGTCCAAACAAAGTTGAGTTCACTGAGTATATCATTCAAGCCAATCCAGGGATCATTCGAAACATCCTTCAAATGGTAAGTGAGAAAAGCTGGAAAAAAAGCCAATAGAAAAGAAGATGAACATGTCATGTCATCAGACAAGACATCAGCTCATAAACAAATCCTTAAGTATTTTGCTTCTTAAAGTCTTGTAAACACATTTTCATTAACATTTGATCAGAAATTTACCCAAGTTTATTATTTCAGGGTTATGCCAAGCCTTTGCCTGTGAAAAGTCTCAAAGAGTGAAAGTATTTAGAACTATGAAGCAAGATTGGAAAGAGGAAAGATACAAAAAACCTGCCTGACCACAATGTTATCTAATGAGTTCACTTATTTCGACGCTCAGGATGAGCTGCTTGACTGGTGGAAATATGTAGCTTTATACAGCTGCAAATGGAAGCCGGGGAACACAGGCAAGATGAAAATGTGCCTTCCTCTGACCTTGTACTGCTGAATTAAGTTGCAGAATTTAGGCAGTCATTTCAGAGAGATATAGTAATATATCCCTTTCTATTTCTGGCAGAAACAGACCATGGATTCCTTTTTTTCCTCTGTGTCTAAAACTACAAATGCCAGCTCTGGATTTGTTATTTTATGCTAATTCATACCCTATAAATAATGTAAAGCAGTTTGCATGGAAGAGGAGGAAGCAACCCTTAGCATCACTAGCATGCCCTAGACAGATGGTTCCAGTTCTTCCAGTAACGTTTCATGCCAAGGCCGTATAACCCATGTTGAGTATACGTTTTATAAAATACATACATTTACATACTGTCTCTTTTTGCCATGTTCTTCTTTGCAGGAAATGACCACTGTATACAGAGTAAATGCTATCTATTACCTAAAGAGCTGTTGCACTATACCTTGTACTTGTTCGTTATGTATGCTTGCCAGGTTTCCTCCAAGGCTCATACAAGTTCTTTTTGCAGTACGCCAGTTTTCATAGGAAGAGCCAAAAAATTTGTAACACTCGGGAAAAATGAGGATAGACGATTAGTGAGTGACAGCAAAAGGAATCTAGGTTTGAATGACACTAGTTTAAGTAAAAATTAGCCCAACTCACACTCACAAAATAATTTTCCAAAGTTAACAGGGACTCAGCTCTGGAACTAAGTCAAAGCCATTCACAAACTTTAAATTTACTCTGTGTCTTTCTGTGAAGGACTGAGAAAGTCACAACAAAACTCAAACAAACCACAGTAGGAGTCTGATGAGAATCTAATGTGTTAACTAACTCAGAGATTTTGAGAAGCCATACTCCATCATTAGTAAAAGACAAAGAAGTGCTGACTCTATAAGAAAAGCCCAGCCCAGGGTTTCATGTGGAATCATCTGAACTTTCTGAAAAATGTTTTTGACCTCGAGCCTGTGGTCAGTGTGCTCTCGTGTGTATTCAGCTTTTTTTATTTAACAGCTCTTTTATTAATGGAAGTATATGACTCATGATTTCTTAAAAAAGTGCTTAGTCATCACATTACCAAAACACATGCGCCCTGAAATGGTTTTGGCAATTATGAGTGTGCCTAGTGTGCCCTTTCCATGTTTACAGCTCACCCTCGGCTCTGTGGCACGTCCAGTAGCACTGTCAGAGAATTATCTTGCACAATTTGTGGAAAATAACAACTCTGACGACTGTAACAAAAATGCAGAAAAAAGTGTACTGGCATAAACTCCACTGGTGTGAGTATCCATGGGTGCTTTCATAACAATATTGTGTATATTAGAAAATAGAACCCTCATTTAATAAGCACATCAAGTTTGTCCCTTTTGGGAAGAGGCAAGCATTGCATTGAAGGCTGTTTGGAAGAATTTGGCCTTATTTCTGATTTGTTCCAGCTCAGATGACTGATTTTATGCTATAGTCGGTGCTTTCAGTTGAATTCCATTCAATTTTTTTGAAAGTACATACAATGTAGCAGTTTTTCCAATGTGTCTCAGATGACCACTTCTCAGGAAAACAAGTAAAAATCTGTAAAACCACCATTTTGCAAGAATGAGGCAGCTTGTTCAATTTTTAATGCAACTTTGGATAATCACTGTCAGAAGATATCTGAAAGACAAAAGGCCTTTTGCATATCTTTAAGTACCTTCCCAAGGATTAATATCATTGTGCTTAGATGGATGTTATCATACCTGGTTTTTAAATAAAAGCCAGTCTTCAGGACATGCTCCAGGAGGTGAAGGTACCGCTGAAGGAAGTGTTGCGTTTATAAAACTTCTGTGCCTCTCACAGATATAGCCATTTGAAAACCCACAGCTGACATCATTCCACAAGCCTGAAATCAATTTAAATATAGATAATAAGACACTGAATAAGATTAAAATTTGTGGGAAAGTGGCTTGTAGGTTTGAAAGCAATCTGCCTGGGAATGTGACATAACATGCTTCAGCTCAACTCTACCTCCCATCATCACTGCTTACAGGAGGACTTTGGTCCTGCTGTGACTGTGGGAATAGTGGCCATAGGAGATGGCTGATATGGCAACTCTGTGAACTCTGAGTAGAACCCACCCAAACAGCGTTGTTGCACTGAAACATGCAAATGTAAATTAACACTTTATAAGTGAAAACACTATAAAATGTGAAAGTCCATATATGTTCTATTCCTTTGCTAACTATTCTCTAATTATTTTTTTGAAAGACCAGTTTGCTGTTGATTGAACATATGATGCAGAACATATTGTTTGTGCAGCTGAAAAATCAGTGATCAAATTGTCCCTGCATTCCCCATTAAAATCAATTTCTTATATTCAACTTTTATGGCTAGTATTGCCCCTGAAGAAACCTCAGATATAATGACTATACTTTATTATGCATATTTTCCCAAACTGCTGGGAAAGAATGGATTAAAGTTGGCAAGATATTTTTAACAAACAGGGGAAGAGCAGTACCCATAAAAATACTTTTTAAAAAAAGCTGTGTAACTCACCATCCTTTTTATTTAAGACCACACAATTTTCTTGAGCATCTGCAAAGTTGGGTTCACCCTGTGCCCAAGCTGCATAGTGCACCGGGCTTCCATCCATCCAACTGAAAAACAACAACAACAACAAAACAGTGGTGGTTACTCAGACAATGTTCATGGAACAGTTCAGAAAAATTCTACCTTAACATGCTACAAATATTTTTTAAAAAATTACAGCTGAGTCTGTCTGTAAATTGAATTTCCATTAGGATTAAAAGGCCTTAGATAATGAAATCCCTGCATGTCAAGTCAAAGAACAAAAATACCTTTATTTTTAACAGACATTATCTATGTATTCATAGCATATGTATTCCCTATAAAATGCCATTTAAAACAGTGTTTTTACAATGTAGTTAAAAAGGGAGAGTACACATTTCAACATGCAATATAACTCTCTGAATCTGCATTTAACTCCCTTGCGGTGGTCCCTCCAGAAGGAACTCTGGCAGTACAAAACTTCTACAACTGCTTTTTATGAATCTTGATGTAGCTTTTTTACCTACCTAAACTGTTGATCAGCATTCTGAATTAATCCTATGAGATATGACTCCAATTTGCCATTTTTTAAGATCTAAACACAAAAATGTACTTTTAGTTAGTGCTTTCTAGTATTTAGTATTTATCTAATATGAAAAAGTGTAATTTTCGTGCTATGAAAGCAAATAGATAAATACACATTGTATAAATGGTCATGTGTAGTCACCAGGGAGGACCCCTGTTGAAGTAAACACCATACAACACATACTTTTGCTTTATTACCTTTATTGCTGCTTTCCCAGTTTTGGCTGCATTACTGGTATGGTCAAAGCTTTCAAAGTTGTGTTTTCAATTTAAAAAGAAACAAAGAACACTTGAGAAAAAATTTAGTATAAAATTTTTTGATACTTTCCTGTTCTTAAGCAGCCATGTAATTCTTGTGTGTCAAGCTGTCTGTCCTCTCCTCCTTTCATATCCTTTCCCACATAATAAAAGCAAGCATCTAATAGTGTGAAACAAAAAGGAGGTTGTGTGGCTGCTTTGGCATTAGTAAACCAAACAGGATTATGGCAGAGGTTTGAGGCAACATCCAGGCTGTTAAATTGGTCGCATGCCCCTGCCGCGGCTTTGGCCTGTGCCCGACAGAAGCGTCTCAGGCAACATGTGGGCAGCGGCCTTGAAATACACGAACAGTTTTGATGATAGGTGTTGTGGGAAAACTAACTCATGAAGGTCCAAGTTCGTCAGTCCCTGACCTGGACCAGGCTAAACCTTTTTTTGAAAAGTTGTTTTGTTCAGCAACATGATGTGGTGTGTGACCATCAGAGCTACGCTGGCAGTAGCCTCACATCTACACGTAACACTGTATTCTAGAATATGATATTCAGATGAGAGGTAAGCACACCGGCAAAAGGACAGTTTTCTCAGTATACGCCTAATCTGCCTGTTCATTGTTCCTTTATACACGTTTGGTCATGGGCAGAACTCGGTTTAGATTAGAATATACAAGAATATACCCATCCTAGTAAATGGTAAATTCTTTTGTGCTTATTTTCCTAAAGAGAAGCTCTATTCTGTAGAATGAATATTTTTTCATTGAACATTTAAATCTAATGCTAATAAAATGTAGTAATATTATGCAAGAAGCACATTTTCCTGTACTTCACAAGCATATGCAGCAGGGTATGTAGGCCATAACAGAGTCAAATTTCCTCTTACGCATTTCCACAAAAATTTTCTTTCACTACTGTTTCCAATGGTAGCAAGATCTCCATGATTGCTTTTGCAGAATGTTCTGGCTTTCTCCATAGAGGTCTTTTCTGTGCTGAAAAAATATTGTTTGTCCCCTTTTAAAATCCAGCCATCTTCTGTGATTTCATATGCTGCAACACAGAAGAGGAATCTCTGTATTCTTCATGGTCCTTACACAAAGCTGGTGTTGTTACATGATACCACCCTTTAGATAAGAGAAAATAAACAGAAGCTTACCGGCAGAAGGGCCCAGAGGTTCTGGTTTCAAGGATGTCCCTGTAATGAAATGGGAAAAAAATGTTTCCCAAATGTTGAGCCAGTATAAGCGTTCAATTAGTGGAAATGATCTTAATGTCTATCAATTTTCCGTATTTTACATATTCAATGCAGAATATAGTTATATAGTTTCTTTGGTGCAGAGCAAAAATGGATGTTCAGAGAATAACAGATGTATTACAGACCTACATCTCTGTCTTGATAGATTTTTGGTAAGTGCATCTTGTACATCCTGAATGTTGCCTAAATTAGGTGACTGAAGTTAGTCTGAATGAGTACTTGTTTCTGAAAGAAAACTAAAGAGTGAAAATACTTTACTTCAATGTTGGTATGCTTCCGAATAAGAATATGAGATTCTTTATGGACATTGTCTTGTATCTGAACAAGAAATTCAAATACTAAACAAATTTTTGCTTCAAAATATTTTAAATCTTAGTAGTATTCATTTGTTTGTGAAACTTTTTTTTTTTTCTGTGAAACTACTTTGTGCAGAATCACATTTGACCGAAAATCCACCAGCTTTTGAGAAATAATTTAAATGAAAAATTTCCACATCACAACTGTGTGGGATATTGGAACAATGTATCTCTAAACATGCAAGGCCAAGAGCTATAAAAATGTAAAACAAATGTCACCTTTCTAATTTTTTTCCACAGGAATTCATCATAATGTTTGTGTTGCTGTGTGTGTAATTACATTAAACGAAGTGTGTGACACACATGCTTGGGGAAAAAAAAGGCACGTCACCTTTTAAAAATAATGTCTTGTATGGTTCATTAAAAGATTTAAAAGAAAAAAATATATGTCTGCTCTGGAAGTATTATTTTCAGTATGACATGATGCACTGCTGACTAATGATGGTAATTTCTTCAGGCTATAATTTCTGCCATTCAACACTAATAATAATTAACAGTATACAACTACTATTGACACTTTTGCTGAAGATTTTTAGTTGTGCTGATCACGCAGGTGGGGAATTACAAAGGAAGTAGCAGGAAAGGTATCTTCACAACATCTCTTTGAGATAGATGCCTATGACTATTACTTTTTAAGCTGAGAAGCTGAGACAATGTGCCTTCGTTAGAATCGCCAGCGCAGAAATGATCTTATTTAGAAAAGTATCACTTTAAACATTAACCCTTACTGCTTGTGTGAAGGAGCCTGGAGAGCCACCAAAGCAACACTCCTGTTAGTCTTGGAAGTAAAATGTGCAACTCAATACAAAGCTATAACTGATTCCTCTCTTATGTTGCTGGATATCTTTCTCAATAGTAGTTACATTTTGGAAAAAAAACCCACAGATGTATAAACATGGAAGATTTTGCTGCTGGTATGAGAGGAAGTTGTGAGCCTGCCTTAAAGTACATAAATTTTGAAGCTTGGCTTACCATCTTCTCATTATAGCAAGCCTGTTTTTACAGGAGTTTCTTTACATGTCATCTTACAAAGAGAATGATTCTAGTATGCTGGTAGTCTTGTTTAAATTAGAGTAGGTGACTAACATGTCCTTGTGTAGCATTCAAACAGAGCAGAGCAGTGAAGTTTCACTTCACAAAGGATACAGAGATTTAAAGTAATCTTTTTTTTTCAACTTGTAATCCTCTCTTTCTCCGTCTCTCTGCCCCCTTAGCCCCCAACTTGGAAATTCCCTACAAGTAAAAGTTCAAAGAAACATACATTTTCATGTCAGTCAAAGCTTCTATTTTGACAAAAATCTGCTTTTGGGCAGAGCAGTGGATTTTACCAGATAAGCCCTTGAGGTTGCTTTCACCTTATTTTCTATGATTCTATAATTACATAAACAAGTATATTTTCAGTAAAGCTTATCATATAATTTTTTTTTTACATAAAACAAACAAAAAAGTTTAACAGTTAAAACATTGTATTCTGAAAGTATTTATATGTCTCTGAAAGTATTTGTATGTCTTGACCTATTTTTCGTTATGCAAAATTGCTGTGAATCAATCAAATTTTCTACAAGCATATAAATTGCAGAACTTCCTGTTTTGATAGATGCAGCTTAAATTTCTTCCTAAAGTGAGTTTAGAGTAAAAATTAGCCTACCTTTCTTTATTTCACAAATCCAGTTATGACTGTATTCACAGTGCACGTTAATCCATGATGTGGAAAGATCTTCACCGATTGCTCCACAATATTCAAATGCAGTATTGGAAAAATAATTATTTTCCTTATAATTCACCTACAGAAGGAACACAACTTTGGTTTTTATTCGTATCATACAGGGAAAAAAGTTGTACTCTGGAAGGAAAGAGAAGTAGCACTGAAGTTTCAAACCATTCCTTACTTTCCTCCTATGGCTGTGCAGCCTCTGTGGGTTATTAAAGCAATATAGTCACTCTGCAAGAAAAAAAAAGTCTCTGGGTTTACGCAGCGTTTAACAGACTCCAGCAGTCCCATGAATACTCGAATCAAATGGTGTTATAAATCAAGAGCAGGGGAAAGGAACGTGGCAATGTATCACTAGAGACTAATAAAAATCAGGAGAGGCCTTTCTCATATATTTGCCACTTAAAAAATTGTCTCTGTAGCTGCAACTAGTACTCCATGTTACCACTGTTGGGATGGTATAACTTCAGGGTCTATTGGCCTTTTTCTTTTCCAAACTGGTATGAAGAATAACGATTTAGAGTTACCCAGTGGCAAGGTAGACATTTTTTGGAATTCTTATACAACTTTCATCCACACCAATAATGGAAACAGCTCCAACAGCAAAAAAGTCAAAACAGAAAGAAACTGGCAAGGTCAAACACTCACCGGGGATCCGTCACTCCAAGAAAGCCCACCATCAGGATCCAAACACTGCAAACCTATCCAGAAAGGCTGAGATGATGGGGATTTTTTTCTAGAGTGTGAAAAAATGTGTCAAACAAGGAGAAGAGGTATGTAGTTAGCTGTTAAATTTTGCAAGTTACATGGGACAATAACTCTCACACGTATTGAAGACTTTAAATAGAGTAGAAATTTTAAAAAGAGCAAAATGCTGATGATCAGCAAACTCCCATTAGCAAGTAAAAGTGATGTTCATGCCTTAAAATTTTCTTCTTTGCAAATGGTTGTGTTGAAAACACAGCACATTGATTTTCTTATTGATGTTGTTATTATAGTGTTCTTTGAGAAATATAATGTTCGGGTTTGCTGGAATTCACAATTTAGTTTCAAAATGATTCAGTGAATAAACTTAGAAATTAGTCTGAAGGAGAAGCATTCAAATGATTTTGTTGTTGGGTTGGGTTTTTTTTTAATTTAAAAGATTTGTGGATGATGACAAATTTTAGGAATTCCAAAAATGTCTTTGAAAATGGTACCCATATGAAATATTTTCTCAGCTCTTTTTCTTATGACTATGGTGATAAACAGATATAGATTTTCAACTAATTATCTCAGGAGCAACTCAAGAATATTTTTATTTATTCCTATATAAAGTATTGTTACACCAAAATATCAATTATTAGATATTTTGCTTACTTACATTATTAAGTTTTCTATCACTGTTTGCTCTTCTTCACTTCTAATGGCAGCCAGGTCTCCTCCTATTTGTCTGCAGAAATCTCGGGCTTCAAACCATGTTTTCTTTTGATTTTCTTCTCTCACAAAAACCTATAGATAAATTTTAAGAGAGAACACTATGTTTACAGCATGTGGAAAATAAATCTACTGACTGCCTTGTATAAGAAAAATAGGAAAACATTCCATTGCAATTATCATATATAATATGGATTAAAGAGTATGCTACTTGAATAACCTTACGTATCACTGATAGAGTGATAATTGCAGTGATTTCCATGAATAGTTGTGTAAAAGCTTACTACATTTGTGCAATAATGTGCCATTCTCTAAAGTTTAGATGCCTATCTATTTGATGCTCTTCTGTCTCATGAGTAGGATTACTGGAAAAATTAATACTTACTCTAAAGCATGAATTAGTGCTATTGCTTGTATCCCAACCCAAGGGACATTTGGAATCAGAAATGGTTTCAGGAACAAGAGGAAGAGTAATTTTTTCAGCTAGTTTTTTGCAGAGAAATTTTGCCTTTACTTCACAGTTCCGAACATCCCATAATCCAGCTGCATTTCCAGTCCTTAGGGCAACACAACCAGCTTCATTCCCTTTGTGAGATATAAAAGAAAATTGAAATGTCTTTTAAAATGGTTCTCCTGACATTTTTACAGCTCGTGATTAATTTACAAAAGACCGTTCGAAATAGTAAGTATGGTGTCTGCTCAAAGGAGGAACTTTGTAAAAAGAGGAAACCAGCGAGCGGAATCCTTCATCATCTTCCCTCCCCTTTGAAGAGCTTTACAAGTGCATGAACCCCCCCTTCCCCGCCTCTTTCCTATGGCACTCACTGCAAGGATTTGGCAGCCTGTCACCCGGGCTGGAAAGGATTTCACCCTTTCCGCTCAGTTTTATTTTGCTCTTGTAAGCAATGAGGAGCCAGCAAAGAAATATTTTCATGGCAGCTTATATCAAAGACACTCCTATTTCAAAGGCAGAATGTTTGTATGTGTCATCATGGATGTGTGTTAGCAAAGTTGGGAAACAGTTTAGAATTACAACACAGAAAGTTCCTTAGTAGCATAAATTTACGCCAATGGCAGAGTACCAGGCATTGCCGCGTTCCAGTTTGTGTACAGAACACCTTCACCAGTCACCCACTTGAACATCCCTTGCTCTTCCATGTCTGAGAGACCAATCCAAAAATACTTCTCAGAGCTCAGACCAACGAGGCTGGTCAGGTAGGCTTGCTCGTATCTGAAATGACAGGAGTCAGATGGGGATTAAGCCTCGCTTTCCCTTGGTCTGCCATTTCTCAGCATCCTAAACTACACAAGACTAGAATGAACAGAGTCTCCATTAGGTTTCCTTGTAAGTGGAAATATGTTGCTTAACTGGATAGCAGATGGACTAGCTTCAATAGCAGGTGAAGCCGTGCTATACTGAAAAACTGCTCCCTACAGAACAGAAGCAGCTGTGGGGTTTTTTTCAGAGTAAAGTACTGGAAAACATGAATTGTAAAATGTATTTAGTTAGAAAAGACCTACTGTATTTACTGATTTTTTTTTTTCCAGAAAAAGGATATTCCGGTTTCACACTTTTTTCCCCAAAAAAATTCTCAACTATTTCATAAAATTCCAAGATTATTCCATCAGATGTACAGTTTTTAAACTCTTTTCATACCTGTCTCCTACACTTGTTAAGTAACCACTGCTTCTTTCACAGGTTTTCTTTGCTTCTGAAAAAGTTACAGAGGTATGTCCAACCAGGTAGCAGTAAAACCCATGTCTTTCCCAGCCCTGTCAAGAACATGTGGAATATATTTGCAGTAAAAAGAGCATATGTTATAGTGCTTGAATTTCAGTGTTTGCTCTTAAATCAACATTTTTAATATAACCTAATGTGGTAATATATTAATTTGAATTCCAGTGGACTAGTGGAAATTAAGCTTAGTAAACATGCAGAAAGAAGAGATTTAATGCATATGAGTCCCCCTTTTTTGACAATTAGTAACTGATAAATTTTAACTAAAAAAGTCAGAGGCACACAGAATGGAGAGTGTACTCAGAAGCAGGTGCGTAAAATACTTCCTTGCACAAAACCGAAGAGAGCCATCTGTGTTATAGTGAGATGCTGACTGAAGTTTCCTGACGTTTCTAGGCTAAAAGAATAGGAACTAGACTAATTAACTGATATAACTCATCAGCTCACCTAAAAAGTCTGACTGAAGAGGTAGCGTAAAAACTATTGAAAAGCAAAATCCTCAAAATTACAGCTGAATTCCAAGTCACTTTTCACTCTTGAGCTTCTATACCAGCTCAAGATTTGCTTGCTGCATCCGAGAAAGGTAAATAAAATCTGTCTTCAGTATTTGGCTGCTGCTTAGTTCCATCTAGTGCAATGAGTCTCAGCTCTGTTCCCCATATGGGGTTGTGGGAAATGTTACTAAATATAGAACAGTAGTAAATAGGAAAGTAAAAAGAGGGGAAAAGACAAGAAAGAAAAGCACTAGGATACAATAACTTGTTCAAAAGAAATTCTCTCGTAAAAGCAATTTGATTGTTGTTGATTTGGCTTCAATAATGAGATTTGTCGTCATCTTGCATCATGTCACATAGTCCAGAAATGGTTCCCAGTCTCTACTGCGTCCTAGATAACCGCAGATGGTTGTAGAACAATATAACAAATATGCAGAAAACTGCAGTAATGGCTTTAGCCTCTTTCACAGATAGTTCTGAGACATAATGGGCCTGACTCATATCGACTAAAATTTTTCAAAATATCTTTATTTTAAATAAGGGAATGTAGTGAAAATTAGCACCCTGAATTTGATGTACAATCACACTTGTTAGGGAAAAAAAAAGATTCTTGGTTAAGCTTTCTTCTTACCTTCAGGCAGGCAGGATCCATCTTTACTGGCCCAGAAACTCCTTGTAGGGGGTCTCTTCTGCAAATGTAACCTAACTTCCTATCACAGGCACTGTCTGCCCAGTATCCATCCTAGATGCAGTTTGGGAAGAGGTGAAAAATAGTGAGGCAGAATCTGTTTCCTTTAGAAACGTTATTGATTTTTTTTTTTTAAATATTGCTTTAATGGGGGAATAAAGATCTGTACTTTTTAATGAATTCCAAGTGTTTGTGCTTAATTATGAGGTTATGTTTAGCTAAGTGTCATGGGCAGACTGTTAAGGTTTGCTTGGCATATAATGTACACTCACAATCAGATATGAACATTTATCTAGTTATCTCTAATGTAATTTTAAATTTAAATTTGAACAACCATCTTTCTGAGTGAATAAAGATAACATTCCCTGGTTTGTTTCTAAGTTGCATTCATAAAAAAAGTAGAAATAGAAACAAAAATCAGACAGTAGAGTGCTACACAAATGTGGAATGATTCTACCTCTCCTGCCATAATGACACAATCTTCTTGCCCATTGATTGCATGGGTTGGTTCTCCAGGCAACCATTTGGTATATGTCACAGGAGTCCCATCACTCCACTCAAAGCACATTTGAGTGTTGAGGTCATTCAGACCAATCCACAGCTCATCTGCAGCTTCTAGGAACAGAAATTCACCTGTGTTAGCACCCAAATTGAAACAGTCCGTAAGAGCAAGATTTTATGGAGATGGGCTGAAATTGCCATGTTACAATACAAATTCATCTAGATTAAATGACAGTGGAGTTTATTTTAAGATCTAATTTACATTCTTCTTTCAAGAAGTTAAAAAATGAGATACCAGCAGGAAATGAGATTCCTCAGCTTTTCAGTAAAAGTCCATTACTGTATCTACAGCTACAAGGTGTCTGAGGCAGATAATCCACCCAAATACTGCAGTAACTAAAGCTGTTATTTCAAGAGATTTCATGCAGTGAAAAACAAATGAAAATCAAAACGAAAAGAATGAAAAAGAAAATGAAGACAGCACTAATGATTCCTCTTGTGGTTTTTTGGTGATTGTTTTTTCTATTAACCTATATATCTGTGGGCTTCCCTACAAATATTCTAAAGAAAGAAAGAATTTTTTTTTTAAATCCTGTAAGATTTCTAATAATATAATTCTCCATTTGTACCAAACACTGCCCTGTAGAAATACTCACTGTAGCCAAGCTGAGACAGTATGAAGCCATGCTCCTCAGGGTTGTGGATACTGGCCAGGTTGCCATTGCTCTCATTGCAGGAAATTAGGGCTTCTCTCCATACTCTGGGGTCTCTGTGAACCATGAAACAGTGACCTCCATAGGGCAACCATCCTTCTGGGCATTTAACAGGCTCTGCATCCCCACAAAATGAATAGATATTTCAAGTTTTTAAACAGTGCAAACTGAAGTCTAGAATAACTGCAATTACAGTTGAAACCAGTTAATTACCTAATTAGAATGAAAATGGAGTGATTACAAATAAGCAGTACTTCTATTCATTCCTCATACTTATAAAGCACTTTAGTCTGTCAGCTGTTGCACACTGTACTTTTACAGAAAACATACTGCATTTAAACAAAAGAGAAAAATAATGGAGCCAGTGGTAACTGGGCTTCACTAGTGTGAAATATTCCCTTTTGGACAGAGGAATATTTTGGAATTCCATGTATAGTGTTTTCACACAATATACCCCACCCAATTGTGTTTTGCATATTTCATAAAGGCATTATTACTGCAGCACAAGTGATTCTCTGCACACGTGGCTTTCCATACTAAGTCTCATTAAATAAATCGGAGGAAAGTGTAGTACAAAAGTGGTCTGAAGGAACTTGCTCTTTTTTGCCACCTTTCTAGGTTACAGGCAATCCCACTGAGAAGGTGGTTTGAGCCTGTTGGTGCCACCTTTCCAAGACTTCAGTGATAAGCCCCCGTGTTTTCATTAGAATGCACTGCAGGAAGGGTGAGGCATCTCTACCTTTGTTTTCATGTCCATGCAGTCCATGATACTTTTGTGACAGTGCACGGCTTAGAGCAGTGCCTCTGGGATCATGAATAGTAACATGAAATGAAAATTGCTTGTGTGGTTACTGGGTTCCAGGAACATTTCCAGTATTTAAATATATTTGGTTAAAGAAATAACAGTATGCTCTGTTCTGTGCCATTCATCAAAGCAGAAGAACAAATGACAATGGTTTTTTTGGTTTTTTTTTAATTTTAAATAGCCATGAAAAATCATTTTAGTGACACAAATTCTGTCTTTATCAAAGGGTTTTTATTTGCTTGACATACCTGATGGAAGAATGAAAGGATCCACTGTGGAGTTTTCCTTTTTACAGATATAGCCAACTTTCAGCTCACATGGCTGGTTTTCCCATTTAGCATCTCTTCTGGGATTTAGTACTGCACAGAGTTTCTCAGGGTCAGGCTCAGGGCTTCCTTCATAGAATAAAAACCAAAATATTTTTATGTAGCACAGGTTTTATGTCAGCAGCTGAAAGAACAATTTGCTTCCAGCCTTTTCATGTGTCAGTTACGGATTCATGACTTCATTGCCACAGTTATTTTTCTACTGGAGATAAGAAAATGTAATTTAAAAGTACTCATCGAAACATTTCTTTAGATGCTTGTTGCATAATTCACACTTTCTGCCATATTTGATTGCAGAATAGCGGTCTCAAAAATAAGACATTCCTATAAGTCTTGTGAAAATTGTTGGCTTGCACAGAAGAGAGACTAAACTTAGAGCCCACACTGATGGAAAGGCTGCAGCAAGTCCTTTCCTTGCCCCTCCACCTGTTTAATCATCCTGTGCACAGGGGTCAGCCATACATCTGCTGAGGAATATGTAGCTCACAACCAGTTGCAGAATAAATTATGTTGTTGCCCAGTCAGTAGATGCTGGACTGAAGAGTCCAGACATTGAAGGGGTACCTGGTGCTGCTACAGTTGCAATGCCGTACACAGACTGTAGGAAATCAGAGTTCATAGTTTCACAGCTCTTGAAACATCTAGTTTTATACCCAATTTGTGGTTAGGAACCAGTTATGCTAATAGGACTAAGTAATGAGCTTAAAACACTCAGTTACATTCATGAAATCAGAGGACACATTTTGAGCTAATATCTTTGGGCAGGGACACAGTAAGGCAGCATCTTAACATAGTTCATATTCAGACAAGGGATTTTATAGATGTGAAGAGAGAAGAGCGTTCTTCAGAGTAAGAGCCATCAGCTGCTAACAATGGAAAGAAATTTCAAAACCTGAAAATTAGAGTGCTAGCTCTGCATTGTAGAGCTAAACCAAGCTCAGTAAATGAATATTATTTGTTAAAAATACGAGACACAAGCAAAATGCCACAGATCTGTGGGATATGTTGTCTGGCAGTTGAGTAGGGAGTGGTGGGAACCTAGACTGGTCAAAGCCTGACAGGGTAGGCTTCCTCTTTATGGGAGCATGTTAGATGGCTTCTAGTTTCTAGAGCTGTGTTTAGCAAAGCACAAAAATAATAATATGGAATTCCTAAAATAAAATATAAGGCATATCTGTTGGATGAGGCATACCAAATCACACATGAAAACAAATCTCATTTCCACAATGCCCTTGCAGGGGAGTATTTCCTTTCTATGTCAGGTTCTGGTCCAGTAGCTTTCAGTGGTGTGCTGGAACAAAAAAGTTATACTCAGGCCCTTTGGAAAGGTCCTTTCTGCATGTCTCTCTGGCAGCTTGGCTGCAGATTTTCTCCTTGCTGCAAGCTGAGCCTCCTCACATGCCCTCACACTTGCTGTCTGTCTCTCCCCTGCCCACGTCTGCAACCGTCCTCCAGGAGGTTCTCCAGGACCACTGTCCTTGGGGAATGGGCACTGTTTTCCTCTTCTCAGAGAGGTCCACAGAGCAATGACTTTTTTTTTTCCCCTCCCCCAAAAAGATACAACTTACAATAATTTTGCAGTAAGCTGGAAATGTGTAGATTAACTCATTGTAACAGCCATCATGTGGGGATACAGGAACTCCAAGAGTGGGGGCTGCTTGACCTGAGAGCCAACGGCTCTTCTCCTCTGCAAGGCTTAAGGAATATGACCAGCTCAGCAGTAGGGAGAAAACCCTCTGTCAGACTCAGCAACTCTGGGCTTTCCCTTCATCTTCTGTGCCAGATAAAAACAGGTGGCACCTTTGAGACTTGGGGAAGTCCAAAAGATGGAATATGTGTTCATTTATTCAGCAAGCAAACATTCAGCATTCGCTGCAACCAGCTGTTGCCATGACAATCATTAAGTGACTTTCAAAGATAAACTGCCAATGCTGTGAACTCTACAGTCTCTCTTGAATGTTAAAGAGGAGCGAAGAAAAGAGGAAAAGCATAAAAAGTGAAGGGGAAGGCTTTGAAAGACTGATGCTCACTGACAGCTGAGTCCTTGCAGGATGCAGGGTCTGATAACCCCTGTGCGAGTTGAAGAGACACAGAGGTTTTAACTGACTTGAAGGCATTCCTAGCATGCTGCAGCTCAACTAGTGCTTTTCACTTTATCTACGTCTGATAGGAGATGAGTTTATTTAACTTTTCTGCTTGAAACTCCTTGTGATATATCCAGTGAAGAAAAGCATCATTCTCAGCTTTTTAATCTCACATGTCTCATAAACCTTTCAGCTCTGTTTCCTCGTGTTCATGGGGAATACTACAGGACAGTAATTAATATGCATTCAGCATTCTGGTGGGAAAGATTCTCTCCAAAAACTGTTAAAAAAACCATTACTACCTTGTGCCCAGTTAAAGTATCTGAAGGGAATGCCACCGCTCCACTGCCAGCCGCTATTGAGATTCAAGCTGTTAAGCCCAATCCAGAGAGAGGATCTCTTGCTGTCAGTCAGATCTAGGTAACAAAAAGGGTGGAATTCTAATGAGATTTGTTAGGAAATGCTCTGCATTTTCAAAGTTTGGAGGAAGATAATAAATGTTGGCTTAGTGATTTCTAAGTTCAGTACAGAATCCATGTTTACTGGTAATGAACTCTGAGAGTTTATTCTGTAGTTAAAGGCTAGAGAATGGCAAAAGACTATTTTGCATATTAGTTTATCTGAATTTAATGCTATTCTAGAGTTATATATAAGTAATAAGCTTTGAAAACTGAAACACTAAATTGCTATTGTTAATATTTCTGTTACAAGTTTGCTTGAGTGTGATGTAACTGATATAGGGCCTTCCTTCTACAGAGTCTATGCATAAATCCAGAAAGTCTTTAGATTTTTAATAGTGTTTTGTATAAAATTTGTATGGTATTTCCAAAAATCTGTTTCATTAGATATATGTGAAGAATACTGATTTCCTAACACAAAGGTCATATAATGACTGCCTCCTGTAATGACTTTCCTTCTTGTAAGGTCCCTTTCTTTGACTTTCTGGTGTTTTCTGAGCTTGAGCCAACCTTTGCTTAATTAGCTGGAAATTCTTAACTTTCTTTGAAAAAATAATAATAATAGAAATAATTTCAAATGGCAATTCCACAATTTACAGAAGTTCCACCTATAAAAAGCTTAATTTACAGTAATTGTGCTATTTCTGTAGCAGTACATATACTATTATTACATCAGCTATTCATTGTAATGCGATTAAAGCACTGAAATATTTGTAATCAGTCAAAAAAACCCTAATAGACACTCTTTTTACAGAGTCTTGCATATTAGTTCACCTGTTAGGTACATTTGTTCATGTATCTCTGTGACACTTAATAATTCTGCGTTCTGCTGCTGGCAGCTCTTCCTTGCTTGGTGCCATGTGAGAGCTGACTGGTAGTTTATCTGGTAGTAGGTTCCTGTCAAAGGATCTGTACTCCAAAATCTGTCATTGTCTGTGAGAGAAAGGAGATTTAGTATTGCAGTTTGTTATAAACATCTTACACAAAACGTTGTAAGAAAATTTAACTGAAAGCTTACTTCTGAAATGAGATTCTGGAGCAAATAAGGCTCAGACCCCCAAAAACCATACTCCTCCCTTAGCTTGCTCTTTGTTAAGTAAAAGAAGGTTTGCTATTGATGTTAGCAGATATGGGCCTTTCATCCTTTATTTTCAGTTTCCCCTGTCAAATCTGATAATCTCCAGGTGAAAAAAACAGTGAAAAGAGATCAATAAAGCAAAACTGCACCTTGGTCATTATCTTCTCTGAAAACCTGTTCAGCAGCTCCTAGGCTACGTCCGAATTAATTCTTGGCTGAAATACAATTGAAATGCAAATATTTCCAATAATGGAAAGTTTGCTTTTCAAACTATGCTACCATTAATTACATTTGGAATGCTACAGGATTGGAGAAGAGCGGCTGGAAAGCTGCATGGTGGAAAAAGACCCGGGGGTGTTGGTCAACAGCCGGCTGAATATGAGCTGGCAGTGTGCCCAGGTGGCCAAGAAGGCCAATGGCATCCTGGCCTGTATCAGAAATAGCGTGGCCAGCAGGAGTAGGGAGGTGATCGTGCCCCTGTACTCGGCACTGGTGAGGCCGCACCTCGAATACTGTGTTCAGTTTTGGGCCCCTCACTACAGGAAGGACATTGAGGTGCTGGAGCATGTCCAGAGAAGGGCAACGAAGCTGGTGAAGGATCTGGAGCACAAGTCCTATGAGGAGTGGCTGAGGGAACTAGGGTTGTTTAGCCTGGAGAAGAGGAGGCTGAGGGGAGACCTCATCGCGCTCTACAACTACCTGAAAGGAGATTGTAGCGAGGTAGGTGTCAGTCTCTTCTCCCAAGGGACAAGCAATAGGACGAGAGGAAATGGCCTCAAGTTGCACCGGGGGAGGTTTAGATTGGATATTAGGAAAAATTTCTTCACCGAAAGGGTTGTCAAGCCTTGGAACAGGCTGCCCAGGGAAGTGGTTGGGTCACTATCCCTGGAAGTATTTAAAAGACGTGTAGATGTGGTGCTTAGGGACATGGTTTAGTGGTGGGCTTGGCAGTGTTAGGTTAACAGTCAGACTTGATGATCTTAGAGGTCTTTTCCAACCTAAATGATTCTATGATGATTCTATGATTTTTTAAAATATATTCCTTATTTCTAGTATGCATGTGTTTTAGGTAATTGGAATTTAGAAATTGTCTTCTGAGAGCTCATTTTTAGCAAAAGTGTTCCCTGGGCAAGTGCTAATAAGCTGTGATTACAACTTCCCCTAACCTTCTCTTTGTTGAGGAAAAGATACTGAATTTTTTGAATGATTCATTAGAAGAAATGTTTTCTATTTTTTGTTGTGTTTCTTTATTGCTGATTCAGTTCAGATTTTTAATATTCTTTTTTAATTGTAGACTCAGGTGTTAGTGATAGTGTCCCAACAATTTTATAATGCCAAATACTTCATGTTTGCCAATTTATATAGTAAGGGTATTCTGGAATTTTTCAAGCTACTGCATGCAATATTGCACCAGGAAATAATTTTCAGTAATATCAGTGAAAATGGTGGTGGTAGTTGGTGGCTGATAACGAGTTTAACCTGGTTTCGCCGTGCAGTACTCCTATCAAAATGACAAATAGTGAGTCTGTTGTATAGCACTGAAAAATTAGGTCTGAGGCAGCATCTTTAATATCTTCATTAGCACCATATTTTGGTGTCCTTTATCCTGCGCTCAGATGCACATATCTGTTCAGATAACGTTATCTTGTCATGTTATCTGAAACATTGCAAGGGAAAGGCTGACGATGCTGCTATTTCAATAAGACCTTTCAGCCAATCTTTTTATTTTAAGTCTTTCAGAAAACAAACTACATCCTCCCATGGACTTTAGACCGATCTTGTGATACAGAACAGGGATTTGCATGGGTAGAAAAGGTTATACTACTGTTACCACAAATAGCAATGAGGCAAGGAGAATTAGGCTGTGAGTAGCATCTCAATTTTCAGATTATTTTATGCTGAATGCGGAAATTTTTAAAGCATACTGGTCTTTTCCTGGGTGTTAGCTACTGATGGACACACAGACAACTTTCAGCCTGACTGTAGACTCATAGGAAACATTTTTGTTTCTTCTGTAAGGAATGTTATAGCATGGCAGAGACATTTTTGAGTAAAATAAAGTCATTACAAGGTTTTCCCCTTCCATGTTAGTCTCAGTATTGATGTATTTACCTAACAGTATTGTGTTATAGCATCTATGCCAGCATTTGGGACTTACTGCCAGTTGGACAGAACCCATACAAATGGTCCGCGTCAAAGTTGGGGGTTGTTGCACACCAGAGCAAGCCGTCTGCCCTGCCGGCAGCCGTGCACCCGGCGTGCCATTTACTGCTCAGCTGGAAGGGGAAGACACATGGAGCTCCATTGGCGTTTCCTAACAGTGTAAACAGATCTGAGGGGGCAAAAGAGAAATGATAATATAGGTACAGGAATCTGGGGAACCCAATTCTCTACATATCTGTACTCTCCATAAGGGTATGTGGAGAAAGTGTGTGGTGGTGCATCACCCACCCCGCCCCCCGCCCTTTTCCCTGGGCCGCTCGTTGATCTCAGAAATTGCCATGAAACCTTGGCTTTGGTGCACTGAGTCTGGTGGTTGAGTGCTCCTTGACCATATCAGAAACGCTGCATAGCTGAGGCTGGGAACGTACTCCCACTGCCTGGCCCAGGCGCCATCTTATCTGAGTTGTAGCTCAGTTGTAACAACACTGAAACCTTCAGAATTTTAGTCACTACTGCCTCAGACAGTGGCCAGGATGGAAATTTACAGATGACTGAAGTCAATCATCTTGTGCACCTATAAATGGTGTCCTAAGTGAGACCCTTTGAGCTCTCCTGGACCGCAGCGGGCTGTGCCCAGAATCTCCCTCTGAGATGAATGCTCCTCAGAGTTTGCAAACTCTCAAGTTTGCAATATTTGGAGGACCGTCGCTGGCTGGCACCGGGACCTGGGCTGCAACACTCCTCGAGGTTCAACCCTTTGCCTGTTCAGAAATGCTAAGACATTTTACGTGAGTATTTCACTGAACTTGAGGGGGATTTTTAACAGGTATATCTTTGTATATTTATCCATCTTTGCATCCGTGTGCATGCGTGTGTGAATTGATGGAAGTACCTGCTAGCAAATATAGACTGCTAAAATCTTATGATCTATCTTAAGATTGTAAATGAACCCTAGCCTGCTGCAAAGCACATATAATCCCTTAGACATATACCGTTGACCAAGTCTGGGACTAAGGGTAGATCCAGCCGGCTCTACTCTGAACCTCGTGACTCAATAGGAGGGTTTTCCTTAACCTTTTTGTTCTCGGCCTCTGTATAAATCATCCCAACTCAGTTCTAACATGACACCCTGGTTTCAGCTGGGATAGAGTTGATTTTCTTGCTAATAGCTGGTATAGTGCTGTGTTTTGGATTTAGTATGAGAATAATGTTGATAACATGCTGATGTTTTAGTTGTTGCTAAGTAGTGTTTACACCAGCCAAGGACTCCTCAGCTTCCCATGCTCTTTTCCTTTGTATGCTTCATCCCTGAAGTAAGTGATACAGTGAACCTTGCCATCGAACTCTGCTAAGTCGTGCTTTTATAAATTTCTATTAAAATCACTTTCTGCTAATACCGTCAACAGTGATTCCTTAAGCGGCCTCTAAACCACTCATTCGCGACAAAGTGTTACAAGTGTTACACCAGTGTAACTGGGACCTACTGTCACCAGCAGCGTCTTCCAAGGAAGTTCTGGGTAGGTCTTGCAATTTACCATTTACTTATATTGCCAGTTGTAATGGCTGGAAATAGAGCAGTTTCATACTGTAGTTAAGAACTATGAAAAAACTGTAGTGATTTTTAAAATCAGATATTTAAAAATAATTTTCTAAAATTAGCATTATTTATTTTCTTTTTCATGTAGCTTAACTTCCTGTCATTCACTAAAAGTAAATCACTGATTTAACTGTTAAATGTTGTGGGGTATTTTGTCATCTGAAATCTTGTAGGGGAACTGAATGGTAGTGTTCATGGAATTATTTCCTTATATTTACTAAAGGAGTATTAAACATAAAGATTTTTGCCTTTCATCTAACAATGCTAATACAATTTCACTAGTACTAGTATACAGTTAAATAAAGCACTTTGATTAAAGCTAACAATTAAAAATAGCCTAGATCCACCTTTTCCTTTGAAAGTAAAGAAAAAAAATGCACATTTTGCACATACTACATTCTCTCTGAAACTAAGCATCTGTACATCTCCAGGATGGAGGAACGCAGGCCTGAGTATGTGTATGAATCATCCTCCAGTCCAACATTGCCTGAGGTGGAACAGCTGATGTTAGTCTAAGGGGAGCAGAAATCAAAGGACCCTATCCGTGAGGCAAACAAGTGGGTTCAAGACATCTTCAGGATTAACCTTTAAACTTTACCTTCATGGCCTTTAGAACACAAATCATCCATGGTTCCATAGATCTTCCATTTATTCATCGTCACTGCTCCTGTGTTCAGCACGATATTGTCTTCTTTTCTTTTGCCAGCACTGAGAAATACATCTTCCCCTTGGATTGCCAAGGTTGCATTTCTGCACTCCCATCTCTGGAATTCATTTTTCTTGTTGCAGGGGTACAAAGAAATTTTAGCCTGGTTTTGCTTGTAGGGCACTCCCAAACATTGTGCAAATGCCACGCTCATCACCTGGTGATCAGACACCCACCTGAATTTTTGTAACTCGGTGTTTTTGTTGCAAGCAGCTGTTGTGACTGCATGAGAACTCTGAGCAATTAAACAGAGCTTAGTATCCTCATTGTATATTAAAAATATTTCATTGTCTGTAAAACAAAATAATCAGAATTAATGTATTTATTGTGAGCACATGATGAGCGGAGCTTGTGTGGAAAGAGATGTGCTGTTGATGTTATGCTGATCTGACTCATGTCAGAAGACTAAATCTGAGTCACTTTTGCAAAGATCAGACAGTGTTTTCAAGACTTTTATTTCCTTCTGGGAAGGAAAAATAAGTGCAGCTCGTGTAAATACAATACAGAGGGATAAGAGCACGTAAAATACATTATGACAGCTTCAAAAATGTCGTCACTGTAATGGAATTTTCATGAGTATAATGGATTTTATTTTTCTAAATGCCTCCTGAAATACACATTTCTTTCAAGATTTCCAAAAGAGACATTACTGAAGATTTGGAAGTTTGCCATCACTTCATGCACTATAGATTTAGCTCATGTCACATACATCTCCACGGGGTTGCATTTGTGCTTAATACAGTTAGTGAGTGAGCCTTCTGTGACTCTTGCTCCTTCTGTAATTGGCATGTTCTGTTATGGTTTGGGACTTTTTTTAGGATGAAAAACTGTGGAACAGTGATTTGTTTTCTTGCCTTGTTCCAGTATCCTCTCATTAGCACATCTATCATAAGAAGTCAAAATAATTCTCACAGTCAAATCACAAAGATTCTCACAAGAACCAACACCGAGCAGCATACAGAGGTAAAGATACTATAAGTGTGTGCCTGTGTGCCTGTGCATTGTAATGGAAAGACAATATGTGAATGCTAAACAAGCTAGCTGTCACTCCCAAAGGATTACAGGCAGCCTAATTTAGTAATCCACCAAGCCAAGCAGGCACTGCTGGGAAGGGCTGCCCAGTACTGCAGTTGTACTGCCGACATGCAAAGCAGGTCGTTCAGCGCTGGGCATCGGTCTGTGAACACAGCTGCCTGCTTTTCAAAACGTCAAGTAGCATACAGCTCCCACTGGCTTTGGGTCGTGAGGGAGTGAAATTTGGATGACAGGGAATATTCTAGGACCTCTGGGAGAGGAGGGCAAGGCTTTGCCCTTCAGATCTTTATGCCAGATGTAGCATCACCCCCGTATCCATGTGACAGAATAACTGCATAAGGCACAGTGAGATACCCTTCCAAACACTAAATTTGTAGGACAAGGGCAGGATCTTAGGGCATAGCCAATGCTGAGTAGTGAACAGAACAGAAAGTGTCTGGGAAATTCTGGGAAGCTATGACAGGAAGAATACTTCTTCTTAGGATATCTGTATTTAGTGCTTGAGCTCTCCCAAGAAGGCCCAGTATTACTTTGACCAGCGTAGTGATCTATGGAAGTTTCACTTCTGCAGCTCTAAATTTGGAGCTAAGACCTAGTTTCTTCTTTCCTTTTCCATACAAACAGAAAATTTTAAATGTTATTAAATCTTTTATTTCTTTCTGCTAACTAATTAAGTGCTTTGTGTAGTGCCCTAAGTTTCAGCTATTGCCCTTCATCGTATTTTTGGGTCTAATAGTAGGAGTTCTCACTGGAAACTGTGAGATAGCCCACTGCTTGGGCTATCACATGGGTTTGGGTCCCAGCTCGCAGAGCAGAGGGGAGACCCCCTTTTTGCACAGGCTAGTGCTGGCACAGCTCACACAGCACAGTGTCTGCTCTCAGAAGCTGTGATTTGTACCGCACTCCTCCACAAATCTAATGAACTGAAGGTAAAGGAAAAATGTCCTTGAACCTTATCACCATCCTAACATCAAAAGGGAGATGTGATCTGTCCTTTGTCAACTTCAGAGCCTTAACTACGCGTCTTATCCTTACTCTGAAAGCCATAGTAGTTATTCCAGAGCTGTTCTTGACTCTGATCTTTTAAATTTTTTTTCACTGTCGTCTACTCAGCCACAGATTACATCTCACATCAAGCCACAAGCTCCATCTCATCCCACAAAACCTCATCCTAAGGCTAGGAGATACTCATACAGCACCCTATTTAATTCCTTTCTCTTCTTCATTTTTTGTAACAGACAAGGACTATGGAGCACGCTGTGAAGTCCATCTACTTCACAGAGCAGACATAACCAATAATTAAGTGGTATCCAAAAGGACATATTTATCCACATACATACTTCTGATTCCCAGCTTTACCCCATCTTGACTCTTCCCCTCTCTTTAAAAGTGAACCAACATCTCTGTATCTGCATCTTTCTTAAGCTTCTGTGGACCACTCCGGTTAGGATGGATATGAAATGCAGGGCAGTTAAGCTGATGAAAATCTTAAAGAGCCTGAGAAATAAGCAAGACAACAAAAATGCCCACTTTCACATCCACTTTTGCAGGGGACAAAAAACAAAGACTCACCGAGTGTCTGAAAAGCAGAATGAACGAAAGAGAGGAAAACTAAGACTGTAGAAACAGTGACGTGTTTCATTTCTTTCTTCTTATTCACGAAGAGATGAGCTGAAATTAATTTCTGCAGTAGAATTCCGTAACAAACTAGTTGGTGCTGGCTTCTTCTCAGTTTTGGAGAGTTTTAGTTGAAAGAGAAAACTCTGGGCTCTAAATAAGGAAATATCCTGTCACATGTGGTATTCTGAAATCTATAAATAATTATAAAATTCAAACTTTGCATCTGAAAGTTAAGTTTCCTTCAATTTGAATGCAAGTGGCAAAGTTTGAACAGTTCAACATCATTCCACTGAATTATTTTTAACTTTCTTGGTTCTGCTCTGGGATTGTAAAGTCCTGACCCTCAAAGGCAAAGAAGCAGGGAGTGCACTTTAAATGGATGTATTTAAATCTCATACATACATGCCTGGGAAACTCAGAAAAAAGAAATGCAAATTTTTGGCTAAATAGGTCTTCACTGCTACGAAAGTTGTATTCATTTAATTTGATGCACCGAGTAATGTCGACTATTTCAGTGTGAAAAATTAACCCAGACGGGACAATTTAATTTAGCTCAGTAACTTGACAAACTGGGCCCCGTGTATACACCTGGCTTTTATTTTCTCCTATTGGTAAACTGGTAAAACTACTATGCTGTTATCTCATGTGAATTTATCTCAGGAGTACCAATACAAATTAGCCAAATCTTTACAAATCTTTCTGTTAACCAGTGATTTTGACCACAAAACTGTCTTTCAAAATTATTTAATCCGTAAAGTACAAATGAATTTTAATACTTAATAATTCTTTCTTTGTACCAAGTGTAAATGAGACAAGCAATGAGGAATATTCTCAAACATTACAAATGAGCTGCAGCCCTTTATTAAGTGGAAATCAACTTCAGCTATGATGCAAAATCCCTTATTTGTTTTGAAGGAAAAGGAGGAAAGATATTCAGCAGAAATTGCCCTTAGAATTTTCTCTCATTTTTCATGGCTTTATTATGAAGACAAATTTCACAATATATTCTGCAAGGGCAAAATGTCACTTAATGTGAGAGAAGAAACCCATTTGAGAGTATAGGTCTTCAGAGCTGTTACCAATAACTATCAAAATATCAAAATTATAAATAATGATATTATTTTGGGTTTGGGGGGTTTTTCATATGTTTACTGTTTTCATTTGCCTTGCCTTTATCGTTAGCCATCAACCAGCACTGAATCCAATTCACTGTCAGTATTTACAAAAAAGATAAATATGGGTATGTGTTGTAACTTACACGAAGGAAAAAAAAAAGGTGTAAGATCAAGGGGATTGTCAGTAAAAAATAGTTTGAGTAGAGAATGCCATTCATTCCCTATCCTCTGCAATATGTTTTGTTTGACTGCAATATCTACAAACCAGCAATCCAATGTCGTGTGAATCTTTCCTTCCCAATGACCTCTCCTATAGAGTTCTTACGTGCTTTTTAAGGGTCTGTTTTTTCCCAGAGGTCCTTGAGATCTTTTTCTTCTTTTTTCTTCAGTCTGTCATAGACAACATAAAATTCATAGAAAAGTTAAAAAGGACAGTAAGCCTCTAAAGCATTTCACTAGCAAGACACTGTGGTGTGCCCCACTGCCTCACTGGCCTGTAGCATGGACACAGCGCCCAGTCAGTCCATTTATCAGAGAGTTGGAGGATAGTAAGAGAAGGCGTCCTAAAATGAGCAATCAAGTGAAATAAAAACAGGAGTGGATTCTTCCAGCTTTATTTGGCATCCACTTTGTTTTATAGTTTATTTATGTTTCTTTTTAGTCATATGCCTTGTTCATGTTTCTGTGTTTCCTCCTGTTAGCCTCTCTCTTAAGGTAAATGACTCATTAGATCACCAAACCGTATAACATCTCTGCATGCTAATTAAACAACACTGAAGTATTATTATATAAGATATAGATCCTTTATTGATATAGTTTTATATTCATAACTGATACAAAACATTCAAAGTCATAGAATATGACTGAGTGTTTGCAAAGATTTACTTGTTTTGCAAAATCCAAGTTGAAGCCATGAATGAAGGACAAGTATTTGCATTTGACTTATAATACTATGGCAAGGAAGGTACTTGTGTAAAGAGTGTAAAACAGGGGCAATAACGGGGAAAAACAACTCACGTAAATCTCTGTTTATTCCAAACACCATTTTACTTGAGTACCAGTATGCACTCTTCAGTACGCTGTGGTGAGATATATTCTCAAAGTGCAGGCTTTGGGGCTGGGTGCTCTGCAAAGACAGTACTCACTATATGGTGATGCTGCCACAAATCTCTAAAAAGAGAGAGCACTAGGGTATTAATCCATAACTTTTAAATCAAATTCACAGTAGTTCTGCTATTTGTCATGCTTGTTTAATTAGCCATTTTATACAGTACTGAGTCTTAGTCGTGAGAGTATCTCTTGAAGAGCATAGAGCAATAGCTCTTAATCCATACCAAAGGAATAATTGCTAATTTTAGTTCATAGTGTCTGTTTGCTAGGTGCATGTAACTTTTACTAAGATTTCCTTTGTTCCAGCTAAATTTTTTTTTAAGCTTAACCATATATTTTGGCTGTGTATCCCATTAGACAACGCTGTGTTCATTTTTTTCTTTGTCGCCAGTAGAATCATTTTCATTGTCCTTTCCAGTTAGGACACAGCTGTATTCTAGCAGTGTGCTGTGCTGCCTTGCCTCTCTTTCAGTCTCACTTTGAGTTTTGATCTTGAATAAGAAATAAATCATGAAGCTCATCCCTAGTAAAATGATGAGGAGCAGAGTAAGTAGCATCCACAGGTTCGTGTGACCATGTGCTTTGTCCTTTTTGGCATCTGTAAATAAATACAAAGGAAATAGAAGTGGGTGTACTGTAGCCATAAATAAACATGAAGAATACTGAAAACTATTGGTCTAATTTCCCCCTTAATTACCAGGTTGTTAATCAGCAACCCACATTTATGAAGGAAATGGAATATAACCACAACATCTCCTGGCCTTCTTCCACTGTTCTCTTGGGGCAAGGATAGGAGGGTGGGCAAAGAAGCTATGATAATTAAGGTGTAGATATTATTGTATGGGGTTTTTAGGATAAGCGTTATATTAAAAATCTATCATAATGCCTCTGTGTCAGTCTCCCTCATAGATCTTAGCATGCAAAAGAAGGAGCAAAGAGGGGGTGATCAGTTTACCAAAGCACTTAGTTATCCTGGGATGCCCTAGGTGTCTCATAGGTAGTGCTGAATTATGCTGGGAATGAATTCAATGGCAATAAAGTAAATTAAGCTCATATAAATAAATATATAAAAGACAAATAAAAATAAATACGAATTCATAAAAAACCCCAAGTATTTCTTTTCATGTCTCTTTGAAACTATTGGGAAGGAAAAATAAATCCTACCTTCCACGTTTGCAGCTACTTTGAGAATAGCTGTCAAAGATAAAGACAAATGTTTAGTCAAAATCTAAAAAGGTCACATTTTCATCCTAACAGTTTCGTGTTAGCAAAAGATCTGGTAACCTGTGCATCAAGGTTACCTCATCACTTCTCCTGGAAACACATTTGCTAAATCAACAGAGATGAAAAGGTGTGATTGATTTTTAACCTGATATTCGCTGTACTAAAACTGCAGTGTTTTGCATATTAAAGCCCCCTTCTTGCTTTTTTAATAACCAAAGAATCTCCAAGCACAGCTATTTTCTGACTGGTTTAGATGGACTCTCTCTTCTCCCCTGGATAATAAATCTTGCTCTCTTCACTGGGTCTACATGCCTGCGGAGACTGCGAAAGGCTGGATCAAATGCTGAGGATATTTGACAGTTTTCCTGTATGGTACACAATTCCTTTGAGACCCAGCAGGTTTTAATTTACCATAATTCATTTACATCTATAATTACATTTATCATCTCGAGCTTTCTCATGCAGTTTTTCCCGGCCGTGCAAAGAGGGCGCCGTCTGCGAGATTTTTCCCTGCGCGCTGGGTGGGAGCTGGGTGATGGCCAGCTCAAGAGCAGATCTTCCCCGTGGGCAGCGGGAGCCGCGGGGGGGGCCGGGGCGCGCCCTCCAGCGTGGGAAGCCCCAGGAGCCGGGCTGCTGCGGCAGGAGCACAGCAGCGCATTAAACTCTGGCGTGTTTGTGAGCCCAAAGGAAATGCAACTGTTAAATTGCCCCTTGGGAGGGTGCAGGGCTCACTGTAATGTCATATTTGCTTGTGCTGAAACCCCATGCTGCTGGAGAACCTGGTGTCAGGGAATGGTCTCTGAACTTTGGCATTGCACATGGGGGCTTCTCACAGTCGAACCCAACAAATAAAGTATGTGTGGACACTGAGTTTCTGCTTTCTGATATCTCTGGTAACAAAGAATTAGCTTTCTGTAGTGTCTATTGCTCTGATGACCCAAAGAAATTGAGGAGTTGCCCTAAAAGGAGAATTTTCTTTTTCAGAAAATGCTCTGACACTGCTATGAACGTGTACGGCTGCTTTCCCCACCAGCTGCAGCTTTGCTCTGCGAGGGGAAAGGACAGAACCTCAGAAACATCCTGAACCTCGGGGTTGCGAAACAGGGCAGGAAATCGTACTTTTTTGCGGAATTAACAGCTAAACTCCAAAATACCACATGGCTGCTTGGCTCACAATATTCTGATATTTCTACTTCCTGACCAAAGCAGATGGTGCTCAGTTACACAGAAATAAAAATTAAAAAAAAAAAAAAAAAAGCTAACCAAAACACTTCTACTATTTTCAAGGGTCACTATATGCGCTCTGGATCATGCTTCCGTTCTGTTATTATTTAAATGGAATTGCTTCATCCATCTCTTACTGGAACAGCATGTATCACAGTACAGCAAGAGGAAGAAAAGCAAATTATTAATGCAACCCTTGTTCCATAGAAAGTGAATAGGAATGTTAGCAGGAAAATACGTGTGTAAGTTGGAGGGGAGCAAAATGGCAAAGGAGTTTAAAATTTTTTCAGAAAATATTGATCATCTTTAGTTATTAATTGAATATTCCTCACAGAATGCAAGAAAATCT